GAAAATTAATCGGGAAAAAAATTATGACAACAATATGATAGGAAAAAAAAATGAAAAATGACTTTAAACATTTATTAATTACAATTGCTTATATTATTAATTCAGTTTATAGGTAAAATAAAAATTACTTCTTATTATTATATTTATTAATTCAATAAAAAATTTTGAAATTTTTCCAATTATTAAATATTTAGCAAACAAAATGTTATCATAAAAGATTACAAAGTTTTCAAAATTTTCGAAAAAACAAAAAAATTCAAACAAGTTTTTTTTTAACAAAAAAAAAAAAAGAGAACTTTTACGATGCATTTTAAAAAAGTTTACCTGTGGTTGTATTTTGATAAGAAGTAAAAAAATTTGACCCTATATGAAAAGTAATAAAATGGTTCGAAAATTTTGCTGAATTGTTAATTGTCGTCAAATTTTATATTTCTATTTTTGAAGGAACTTTATCTAACTTTAATAGCATAGTAATGACAGAAACAGGTTAATTACTGTCCTTTTTCGTTTTTTTTTTTAAGAGGAAAGGAATACCTTTAATTGATTTGGACCGTCAATCTCTTATATTACCTGGTATCGTTCTTATGATAAAAATTTTAGCAATTTGAAGTAAAATGGAATAAAAAGCATATGGCATACTTTGAAATTCATTCAAATTAGTCATTTCTCCTTAATCTAACTCACTTTAATTTCGGCATAGAATTTAGATTAATTTAATTCCAATTTATCTTTTCGCATTTGCTTTCTTAAATTTTGCTAATTTTTGTTTTTATTCAATTATTTTATGAAAAGCATGCAAATAACTCTTTTTATCAGTTCTTAAAAAAAAAAAATTTTTAAAATTTATCAGTTTCATCATTTTTCCGAAATTTATCAGTCCTATCATTTTTACGAATTCAATCATTATTTCCATTTATTTTTTCTTTTTTTTACAGGAAAAAATTTAATTTTTTTTTCAATTTACACAATTTTTGATAAATTATAACCAGCTTAACAGAGGAATAAGAACGAAAATGAGAAAGAATACTGATTGCAATGGTTTATTAGCTGATAACATTAACACCACCATTAGTGATAACACGCCGTCGTTTGCTTATCATCCAACCATCATCAATCATTTCTGATTCCATCATTGATTCTGAACTATCGAAATTATCATCTTTGCTTGTCCAATGCATTAATGCTTCCTCATCAGTTTGCACTCGTTTATCCTTGTTCAGACGTGTTACTATTTGACTGGGTTTTTTCCTGTTTAAATAAATTCGTTGTGGTCCTATTTTTTGTCCTGTTACCATATTGTAATCATCCGATCCTTGTAACCATACCGGTGAAGATGATTCACTTCTTACAGTATCTTCAAACAAAAAAGCAAACATTTCAGTTAATCACAGCATCTTCTAATAAAAAAATAAACCATAATCTTTCAGTGCTTACAGTATCTTTAAACAAAAAAGTAAACCTTTTAGTTATTATAATACCTTCTAGTAAAAACAAAAAGGAAAACTATAATATTTCAATTCTTGCACTATCTTCGAACAAAAAAGTAAATATTTCAGTTAATTACATCATCTTCTAACAAGAAAATAAACCATAATTTTTCAGTCCTACAGTATCCTCAAATGAAAATGAACCGTAGTCCTCCAGTTCCTACAGTATCCTCAAATAAAAAATACCGTAATCAATCTTGTTATAATTTTCTCTTTCTTATCTTTTTTTTGCATTTTTTAAATACTTCAAAAATTGATTAATATCTTTTAGTTGCTTAAATTTTTTCAAAAAAAAAAGTGATAATAAAATAAAATATAAATGAAGTGATATGGAACCTGATGAATGATCAGCTCGATCATCATACATATATTCATCATCATTATCATTATTATCATCATCATCATCACCAGTTGTCGTATCCCAACCTTCTGTATAATCATTCTCATCTATTTTCATTTCTTCGGTTGACGTAATCCTTTCTGTAAATGAAAAAAAAATTGCACAATTATCATTATTACTTTTTTTTTTTTTTTTTTTTAACAAGACTGCTACGATAGAGGGAAAGGAAGAGAGAAAGAGAGAGAGAGAGAAAAGAAAAAGAAAACTTTTAAATTAAAATATTGCTATCATGCTTTTTAAGTAATTAAATTCTTTTTGTATATAAAACAAAATCAAACTTGAATTAATTATCAAAAGTCTTTGATTTAAGAGAAAGAAAAAAAAATTTTAATTCCTAGTTTTTTTTTTTTTTTTTTGTAAATTACAGCACTGATAATTTAGTAACTGTATATAATGATTAAATTGTAATGATAATAATGATAACGGTAATGTTTTCTTTTTTGCTACAAATCACAAATTGTGAAGCCCTGAAATTCCAATTTACATTACTTAATTGAAGTATAAATTCTATGCAAACGATAAACATGGTAGTGATAAGCATCTTATCAGCGTTTGAGTGATAATATTTTTTAACTGGATCATTGAAATTTTTTAATCATTTACTTTTATTCGTATAAATTTGAAAAAAGAACGAAGTTAAAATCCACTAAATACAACAAAAAAAAAAAAATTCCACAATTTTTTCATTTCTATTTTACTCGCTTTTTTTTCCATTAAAATTTATTACTTTACATTTATACGGCATAGTTTTTGCATTAATCTTTCATTCAAACAAAGGTCATAGGTTAAAATTGGTCAATTTTAAAGCTGTTGGAATGATGGCGGAAGTAATTAGCTGAAAATTCACATTAACATTTCTTTCGATAAGATTTATATGATTTTAAATTTAATTAATTCGTTTGTGAAGTATTTTCAGTTGGATTATTTTAGAAATGTATAAATTGAGTGTACATATAAGATAAAATCTTTATGGTTCATTAATTGATTAATTATTTAAAGGCAAAAATAACTTTTAAAAATCATTTCGAAACATTCAATTTTAACAATTTTTATAATAATTCATCAATAAATTACAAATAGAATTATGGATAAATATTTTTTAAATTTAAAAAAAAATGATAATTTTAATGAAAATGATAATTACTGATAAATTGAAGATTTGAATGAATGAAAATTGATAGTTAGTGAAAAATTAACTTACTTGATTCTTTTATTTGATACACTTTAGTATTACTGAATTCTGACATTTTATCATATCGAATAGTTTCATCATCAAAATGTTTTCCGGTTTCAGCCGGTGTTGATTGATCATATCGGTCATGTTTCATTTGTAATCGTTCTCGTCCGGAATGATTCGAAAGTGGACGTTTGGTAATATCAGTTGCTGATGTTGTCGTTTCAACAACTTCAACAAAATTCGTTAAAAACAATTACGCATAAAAAAAGTTTAAAAAAAAAAAGAAAAAGAAAAAAAAGAAAAAAAGAAATTTGGAAAATTTTTTTTCCAAAAAAAACAAAAATATAATTGATGAAATTATTTTGTTCAATGAATTTTTTTTTTTTAAACATTTGAATTTAAAAGTATAAATGGAAATTTTTGAAAATTCAACTTGGAAATATAAAAAGATCTATGAATTCAAATTAGCGCATTTCAAATATTTTATAAATATTTTTCGCATTTTTCTTTGCGCATAATTTACTAATTAATATGCGTATAAATCAACTAATTAATACACTAATTAATTAAATGCGTTAATTATTTTTATAAATCAGGAATGAATATATTTCTTCGACGATACCTTTATCAAACATTTATTAAAATAATCAAATTTAAAATTAAATTATACTAAATGAAATTTATATATCATAATTTAAATTCATATATGCAAAATTTACGAATATATTGTTTTTTTTCCCCGAACTATTTCAACAATACTATGGATGAAATATATTTTATAACAAGGTAAAAAAAAAGGGAAAAAAAATCTTTTTTTTTCGAAAAGAATTAAATTTCATTTTTTAACTCATTTTTTAAAATTTAGAAAAAGACTGAATAATCGTTAAAATTTTTCTCTTTTTAGACAAATTTTTATCAATTTTCAGCCAAGCAACAACTGTTCAAATAATCATTTATCGCATTTTCATTTCCAAACACAATCAACTGATCCTTTCCATTTCAAACTTTTTTTTTCTTTTTTTTTTCTGCATCTAACGAATGGCGAAATTTTCATTGAAAAGAATTCATTGCAAAACATTTCCTTTTAACAAATTCTTTTTTCTTTTTTTGATAAAAGTTTTTCATTTCAAATTTTATTTTTTCATATTGAATTAATAGAAATTTTTTGAAATAAATAAGGAATAAAATAAGTAATTAAATTAAATATTTAAATGTAAATATTGCAGATTTTTTTCTTTTTTTATTACATGTCTTTTTTCTGCCAAACTTTTTTTTTTGTAAAAATTTTTGTTGATTTAAAAAATTTTGATTTAATTGAATTTTTTTTTTCCCTTTTTTTGGAAAATGAATAGAGATAACAAATACGATATATTGAATAGATTAAATTATCTAGCAAAAAAAAAAAAAAATTATCACAAAAGAATTCATATTCATTCATTACAGTTTCAATTTATCACCTAATGATGACAAATGATTTGTCAAGTAACGATGACATGTAATGATAAATTAACCCTGGCTGGTAGTAAAAATTATTATTTATAGCAATCGTCATTAGCAATTAATCATAATTACCATAAATTACAGTAAAAATACCATCACTATCATAAATTATCGTTATCATCGTCATTATCACTATTAATTATCATATAGCAGTTACTATAGTGTTTTTTTTTTTTTTTTTTTTTTGTAGTTATTATCATAAAGCTCATTTAATTGTTATCATATGCAAAATATTTTATTAAATAATGAGAAATAATTGCGATGATACAGAATTATATCAATGATAAACTGATTACATTCATTGATAAACTGATAAAAATTGATTAAAAAAAAGGATTAAATCAATGATAAATTGATAAAAACATACCAGCATATTGACATCGATCACCATAATAGACGTTAAGTAAGCAAAGACATGTATGTATTGTTGGATCATCAACTAAATAAGCACAAAAACCACCATTGAGACATTTGATGCGACATTCACTTTGTGGATTAACAAATGCTTTCCGTTGTTGTGCTAATATCTCCCATTGTATATTGTTACTGTACATTACAATATACAGTAAAACTGATACTATTCTCATCTTAAAAAGAAAAAAAAACAATAATAATAATAAAATTTAGTTTAAAAATAAGAAAAACGAATCGAAAAATTAATTCAATTTTATAATTAAAATTTTACATTTAAAATATTTGTCATTCATCCGCCAATATGTATGTATTAACAGATATGAAAATTAAAAAAATAATAAAATTTAATTTAAGAATGTGAAAAACGAATCGAAAAATTAATTTAATTTTGTAATTAAAATTTTAAATTTAAAATATTCATCATTCATCCGTCAATATGTATGTATTAACAGATATTAAAATTAAAAGAACTGATTTATACATTAAAAATTTTAAATTACGCCAACAATTTGTATTGTTTTCAATGGTAAAAGTGGGAAAATTTGCAAATTTACAAAGTTTTGCGAAAGAATTTTAACCATTTTTTTTTTAAATTTAAAAACTTATTTTAAGAAAACAAAAAACAAAACAAATAAAAAATTTATGATAAATGATTGCCAATTATTGTTTCGTTGAATTTAAATCTGTCAAAATTAAGAAAAAAAAAGAAAAAGAAAATAAAGTTTAACAAAAATAAGCTTTCTAAGATAACATCAATTCTAAACATAAAACATAGAATCGATCATTTCAACGATCGATCAATTCTCTCTATTTTTTAATTAAATTTCTTTTTTTTATTTTTATTATTTATCAAATGTTGTATAGCTATCGATTAATTAGATCTATGTGTACAATGACATTTTACACAAGATCTTTTTTTTTACATTATTTAATTAAATTAAGTTAATTAATTATATTTCAACAAAAGAAGAAAAAGATAATTAGTTGAATTTTAAAGAGATCAGAAAATTTATCAATTAAGCATCTATTCGTACTTTAGATGAATGATTGATAACGGTTAAATAAAAGTCTTTGAATTTTGCACGACAGATAATACTTGTGAATTTATTAGAAATGATTGTAATGCCAGTTTTAAGTGGAATTTAATCTAATTACTTTTATCATTTTTAATTAAGACAAATTTAATTAATTTATTTAAAATTTAGTTTTAACAAATCCTATGATTTCAAATCAAATTAATTAATGCAGTCATAATTTTGTCCAAATAAATCTAATCATTCCTAATCACTCTAATGCATCCAATCAAAAATTGGTCTAATTAGTCCTTTAATCATTTTTAATCAATCAAATTAATCCAATCAAAAATAGGTTTAATTAATCTTTTAATCATTTCTAATCAGTTTAATCAATCTAATCAAATCTTAATTTAAACTTTAATCATTTCTAATTAACCAATTCAGTGTCATTCTTCATTATTTCATACCATTAAATTATTTTCCAACGATTTAATTTTAGATCAAAAAAACAAATTTCATTTTCATTTAAGAAATTTAT